ACACAGCAGGCCCCCAGGGGCAGCAGGCAGCCTGAGACCCCGTGAGCTGCAACAAGATGTGTGCCAGGGCGGGGGGAGGGGGCTGGGGCTGCGCGGGGGCTGTGGGACTTCCTGTGGGTGGGTTGCGGCCTCCCTAGCTGTCCCACTGGAAGTGCTAGGGTCGCAGCCTCTGTCTAGTGGAAAGGCCCTAAGGTCATGTTTTCAGAAGTCAGGAGGCATCTCTCTCCCTTCCTCTCTCTCCCAGTTTTGGGGTCCCAGGCTGAAGTCCAGGATGGCTACCTGTAGGAGGATGCCTCCTAGGTCCACGGTCGGCAAACCGTGGCTCACGAGCCACATGCGGCTCTTTGACCGCTTGAGTGTGGCTCTTCCACAAAACACCACAGCCTGGGCGAGTCTATTTTGAAGAAGCAGTGTTAGAAGAAGTTTAAGTTTAAACCACGTGGCTCTCCAAAGAAATTTCAATGGTTGTCCTGTTGACATTTGGATCTGGTGACGAATGAGTTTGCCCACCCCTGGGCTAGGCGACCAGAGAAGGATGGAGAGATAAATCCTGGGTGCCAGAGGAGGTGTAGAGGCGGCCATAGACTTTTTAAATGGATTTGAGAGGAAGGAGAGCGAGAACTAGTGTGTTGGGGGGGCGGGGGAGGTGGTGGTGGCTGGAGGCTATCTGAGCGCCTGCCGGGAGGCTGGTTTTGTGTCTTAAACCGGCCGAACCCTCTTTAGGACGGAGGAAGCCTCGGCCGAGAGGCTGGGGCTCCGTGGATCCCGGAACAAGTTTATGGGGTTCATCAGCTTGAACAAGCGACGAGGACACGCCTTCCCCGCAACTCGCAGCGGCTCCGAGGGCTGGTTCCTGCCGGGCGCGAGGTGCCCGGATCCCCACCCCCGGGCTCCGCGGATCTTCCCGCCCCCGCCGTCCTGCCGGAGCCAGGCGTCCCGACCCAATCGGAGCGCGGCCTCGCCGGCAGTGGGCCCGCGTCCAGTCCCTCCGGCTCCGCTCGGCCGCTGCGCCTCTCCCGCGGCGAGGCCCCGCCCCCAGCCGGCCCGAGCCTGGGCGGCGCCGCACGTCGCTCCGCCCTCCAGCCAATCACCGGCCCGGAATCCACCAGGCCCCGCCCCCGGGCCCGCCCCGGCCAGTCCCAGGCCCGGCTCGCCCCAGCCCCGCCCCGCGCCCGCCCCGCCGTCGGTGCGCGGAGCCCGGGAAGGCGCCGCCCGCAGACGCTCGGAACTCCGACCCGAGAGCAGCCGGAGCGCCGGCGGCGGAGCGGAGCGGGCGCGCGGGCCGGACCGGGCCGGGGCCGAGCGGGGGCCGGGCGGCGGCCGGGCCGGCGGGCGGGCGGCGGGATGGGCTGCACGGTGAGCGCCGAGGACAAGGCGGCGGCCGAGCGCTCCAAGATGATCGACAAGAACCTGCGGGAAGACGGCGAGAAGGCGGCGCGGGAGGTGAAGTTGCTGCTGTTGGGTGAGGCCGCGTCCTGCGCCGGCACCGCTATCCCCGCTCCAGGCCCCAAGGATTCTGACATCCAGGCTAGGGCCCTGAACCCCCAGACTGGGCCTGCACCCCCCGACCCGGCCCGGCCGGGATACCCAAGTAATGATTCCAAACGCTGGCTGGGCCTAGACCTCTGGTCCATAGTCCAGACTCTAGGTCAGACCCTCAACTCATCCCAAACCCCCAAACACCCCCACTCTGCCTCTGCGTAAGCTCCCTGAACTCTGTGGGACCAAACTTAGACCCTCAGAACCCCAATCAGTGCCCACCCTCAGGTGCCACCTCTCCCCCCACCTGCTCCCCCTGTTCCCACTGGCATGAGTGTCCCTGAGGCCCCTGCCAGGTCCCCCCAACTCCCTCCTTTCCCCTCTGTGCCCATCTCTACTCTGGACCCCATACCCACCTGTGCCTCCTCACCCCAAGGGGCCTGTGATTGGGAAACCCTGACTGCTCAGGGGACCTCTCTCCAGCTGGAACCCCCAAACCTGCAGAGACCCCTGCTGCATGCATCACTCCTCACACCCGCTGCTCCCTGCTGCGTCCTCTCCCACACTCTGGCCCTCCCCAGAGGCCCCCATCCGCCCGCACCGATGGGCCAGGCGGGTGGGCGGGCGGGAGGAGAGGGCCCGACCCCGACGGAAACTCCACCGTCCGGCTGCGGGGGGGTGGAGGGGGGCGCCAGGCCCGGGCTTCCTGGGGGGGGGGCTGCCGAGGCCTGCTCCCCAGCGCCAAGCCCTGTGGGGGCCGTGCGGGCGGTGGGGGGACCGGCCGGAGTGAGTGCTGAGGAGGCTGGGTCGTGGCGCCTCCCAGCCCGGGAAGATGGAGGCTGCTGGAGGGGTGGGGGAAGTGGAAGTGGTGAGACAGCCGACATGTTGCTGCCTGGGCGGGCGAGCTGGCGTTTGGGCGGGCGGGCGAGGGCTCAGACCTGCCGGCTCCCGCACCCCGTCTGGGCCATGGGCTGGGCGGGGTGCTGAGCCCTGCGGGGGGCCGGCGGCCCCGGTGAGCGTGGCAGCGGGGGGGGCATGGAGGGGCTTTGGCGGAGGCTGTGGGTCCTGTACTGGTCCGGGGCCAGCCCCCCCGGGAGCAGGTGTGTGCCCGGGGCAGCCTGGCCTGGGGGTTTCTGGGTGGGGGGAGCCCCCGCAGGAGCCGGGAGGCTGGATGTGGGGGGTGTGGCCCCTCACCCCAAGGCTCTGTGGGGCCCCCGGGCTGAGAGCGGGCCTCCCGGCGGCTGAGGGCCGGGCAGCCTGTCCGCCGTCGGCCGCCCATCTGTTGAGCGTCCCCGGGGGCCTGGCCTCAGGGGCACAGCCCGGAGGTTTCAAAATGGCATCCGCTGGCTGCGGGAGGAAGAGAAGGGGCGGGAAGGGGCGGCGGCCGGCCTCCGGGCTGTTTTGCGTTGGGCGCTCGCCTCTTCCTGTCTCCCTGCGAGCGGCGGCGAGGGGGTGTCCCGCGGGGGAACGCCGGCCGGGCTGGGAGGGGACCCCATCCTGCTGCCCCCCCAGCCCGCCCGGGCCTCCAGGCAGCCTCTGCCCGCCGGGCTCCGGGGCAGCTGAGCTGTGGGCCGGGAGCAGCTCAGGTTTGGGCCCAGCGCCCCTCCCGCTGAGCTGGCATAACGGGGTGCAGGGTCCGGGTGCAGGGTCTGGCTCTGCGTGTCCTGGGCCTCGGGGGCCCCCTCAACCCCCTGCCCCCCACCCCCGGCTCTGCTTCCTCCGTGGGACAGGCTCCCGGGTCGGGCCCAGACGGGAGGACAGGGGCTCAGGCGGTGCCTGGGGAATGGGTGCTGAGACCCCGCAGCGACCACGCTCTGCCTGGCACTGAGGGCCCATCTGCCCTGGCGCCCGGGCAGCGTCCTGGCCGGGGGACCTTTCCCGCCAGGTGCCGGGAGGCGAGGGAGCCCGTGGGGAAGCCCCAACGCCGGGCGCCCAGCCCACATAGCGGGAAGGACCCGTCCAGGCAACGGGACTCTGTCTGGGTACCTGCCAGCCTGGCTTCCGGGCCAGAACCACGCCTGCGCCCCACCCGCACCCTGGCTCCTTCCCGGCCCGGAGAGGGCCAGCGCGGGCACAGCTCTGTCACCGCAGAGGCTTCCCTGGCAGCTGGGTGGGGACCGAGGTGTTGCTGTCAGCCCCCCTCCAGGGACACCACCCATCACCCCCAGGTGGACCGGGGAAGGGGAGCCAGCCTGGGTTTGGGGTGTCTGACTGCAGGCGGCGGGTGTGGGCAGAGGACAGTGTCGGTCCCGGCCGGGAGCCTCGGTGTGTAAACACAGCGGCTCTTCTGGCCCCCGGCGCTCCGCCCGCCCCCTCACTGGTGTGTCTTCCGGTTCCACCTACTCACGCCTCCTCTCCAGCCTGTGCCCAGGGCCACCACCGGCACCTTCCTGGGGGCACCCCTGGCTCTGGCACTGCCGCTTCCGCCTCAGCCTGTCCGGGCACCGCTGCCCGCCCACCCTTGAGATGGCAGGGCAGGGCTCCTCCTGGGCTGGGCATGGAGCCTGGCACCCAGTGGCCGCTCCTTGTCTGATGGTCGCGGGAAGGAAGAGCTGCTGAGCTTGATCTTGGGGCTGGTGGATGGAGGAGATGAGCCACAGCCTGGTGTATGGTGGGCAGGTGGGTGGCAAGGGCTGGTGCCGGGCCAGTGGCCGGGATGGGCACTCGACGGTGGAACTCCGCTGGCCGGCGCAGCCTGTCTGGGCATGGCACACAGCAGGGACTCCAGCTCTTCACGGGAGCGTGGCGGTGTGGTCAGCCCCTGCCTCTCGGAGTGACCTCAGAGGGGCCCCAGCTTCTCGGGGTGTCTGAGGGCTGGCCGGCGCAGACTGTACAGCAGGGGCTCCGCTGGGGTGAGGAGGGGCGGGCGGTGGCCTTTGTCCTGTCTGTGTCTCTAACAAAGGGCCGGCCCCCGGAGGGGGCCTGTCAGTGTGTGTAATTCCGCGGCTGCTCCGAGGCCCTGGCTGGCCGGGTGATGGTGAAGTGGGGGTGCCTTGGGAAATGACTTTTGCTAGGGCCAGACAAAGGGGGCCACAGGGCCCGTCCGCAAGGTGCTGAGTGGGGGAGACCTGGCCTGGGTCCCCAAGCCCTGGGGCGGCTGTGTCCTGGCTCACCCGCCCTGGGCCAGCTCTTGGGGTCACCAGGTCTGGGTTCAAACCCCAGCCCCACCTGGTGCCCTGGCTGAGCAGCCCAGCGCGGGCACACCTGTCCGCCCTCCCTCCGGCCGAGCACCTGGGGCTGCAGCCACAGGTGGGAGTGCAGCCGAGCCGGCCAGGGCCCCTGCGGACCCCGCAGAGCTGAGAGTTTGGCAGGGAGGGGTCTCCCCGCCTCCACGCTGCTGGGCCCCAGCAGGAGTTTGGGGAAACCCCTTTCTTGACCTCAGGCAGTTGCTCACAGCAAGTGGGGAGACCAGGGCGTGTGGGGTAGACAGTTGGTGCCACCTGGGGCGACAGACTGTCCTGGGAACCTTCAGGCCAGCCCAGGGGGCTGAGCGCCTTCCTGGGGGACCAGGGCCCCAGCCTACCTCCAGGCCTCCTTCCCCTCTGCCTCCGCCTTCCCGGCTGGAGCTCATTAGCATTTGAATGGGGCGGGGCAGCGTGGGCCTCCCAGGCTCTTCTTCCCACCCCTCCCCCCGGCTGGGCCAGGCTTTGTCTAACGGCGGGCGGGCGGGCCGGCAGAGTGAGGGGGTCTGATCCATTCCTGACACCTGCCTTCCTCGTGCCCAGTCCCGCGGGCTCTGCCCCTGCCCGGTGCTGGGCCGGCGCCTGAGGTCCCAGAGGGGGGCTGAGCCGGGTCCTTCCAGGGATGCCCTCCCGCTGGGTGGCTGGGTGAGGCTGGGTGGTCTTGCAGAGGGTGTCCCAGGAGGGTGGGTGGAGGCCCAGGCAGAGCCGCCGTGGTGAGGAGCAGAGAATGAGCCCTGTGGCCGGGTGGATGGCGAGGCAGCTGGAGCGCAGGCCTGCGTGCCAGCCCCCCAGCCCCGGGCCTCCATTGTGCTGGAGCGGGTGCCTCGGCTGCCAGATGGGGGCCTGGGCAGTCCGTCAGGTGGGATCCAGGGAGGTCCCAGGCCTCCCGCAGGGCTGGGCCTGTGTACCTGCCCTTGACACCAGTCCCTGGCTGTGTCTCTCTTGGGCTTTGTCCCTAAAAGCCCCATTATTTCATTTTTAATATAGTTGTATTGATGCCAGAGAGGAAGGGAGAGGGAGAGAGAGAAGCATGGATCGCTGCCTCCTGCTCGCCCCCACACTGAGGATCTAGCTGCGGCGGGGGCCTGTGCCCTGCCTGATGGGGAGTCAGACCGTCACCTCCTGGTCCCTAGGTCGACGCTCAGCCGCTGAGCCAGCGGCCGGGCACCGCCATCCTCTTGGCAGGAGCAGGATGGAGGAAGCTTTGTTCACAGAAGCTCTTAGCACCAAGGGACCAAGCCCTTGTCTCACAGCCACACCCCCGCAGGTGACGAGAGGTCCGGCCTGAGCCCCCTGGTGCTGGGGGGAGACGGGGCCCAGGCCAATCTCTGTCCGTCTTCCCAACAGCTCAGGGCAAGCGTCCCGACTTAGGAGTTCCGTGAGGGGATGGGGCCAGCGGGTTCTGGCCGGGCCACGGCTCACGGGCCCAGCCCAAGACTGCCCTGCAGGGTGCCCAGGAGCTGGGCTCTTAGATGGTGGCCCTGGTACCTGGTGCTCTGAGGCAGCCCCTCCCTCAGCCATAGCCCAGCTCCTCTAGCCCGGAGCTCTTGCTCTTACTGAACCCCAGCCCAGCTCTGGCTGGTGTTGCTCAGTGGATAGAGCGTCAACCTGTGGACTGAAGGGTCCCGGGTTGGATTTCGGTGGATCAGGGCACATGCCCGTGTTGTGGGCTGGATCCCCAGTAGGGGGCATGTAGGAGGCAGGCAATCAGTGATTCTCTCTCATCATTGGTGTTTCTATCTCTCCCTCCCTCTCCCTCCCTCTCTGACATCAATAAAAAATACATTAAAACAACAACAACAAACAGCCCACTGTCACCCAGTGCCGCTTCTTGGGCGGTGGCCGTCTGGGCGGCTTGGGAAGGACCCTCTCCCCGGAATAGCCGGGCGCCTGCCGGGCGCCTGCGTGCACATCCCGGGCTGGGCAGTGAGAGCCGAGCCAGCACCTGCAGGCGGGCGGGATGGGCCTGCGGAGAGGTGTCCCTGGTGTCAGAAGATGCAGAGGGGGCGGCGATGGCGATGGCGATGGCGGGGCCGCTGTGTCCGGCAGGCGGAGGGCCGGGCGGCTGGGGAAGTGGAGTCCCGGCCGGAGGAAAAGGAGGAAGCAGCTGGAGGAGGAGGAGCCCCAAAGAGGAAGAAGCCAGAGCGCCCGCTCTGCCGGGGGCGGGCAGGGAGCCGGCCATGGGGAGCTGGACGGGGAGGCCACCCGCCAGGGCTCATCGCACCCTGCTGGGCGCCTCTGGGCGAGTCGGCCCGGCCTGGCCCGGCCCCAGCCAGCGCCCGGTGGGAGCCCAGCGGCCATTCGGAGGAGCGTCCAGCCCCTCCCCTGGCCACAGGAAGCGGGCCTGGGAGAGGGCCGCGCGTTCCGAGCGGCCAGGGCCTCCGGGCGGAAGGCCGGCTGCGGGCCCGTGAATGCCCGGAAGCAGAGCGCGGCCCCGTGAGCTCACTCCGGGTTTCCCGCCCCGGGCTGCACGGAGGCCCTGGTCCGCGGAGGATTCCCCTGCCGCCGGCCTGGCCTGGCGCCTCCGCTCAGCCTGGGGGACGAGAGCCCGACGGGCCGGACTCTGCAGGGGCGTGTCTGATTGCACTCATCCACTGGTGGGGAAACTGAGGCCCCGGACCTGCCATGACGTATGGAGACCCCACGATGTGGCCGGCAGTGGTTCTGAGCACGGCCGGGGCCCACAGGAGCCGTGCCCAGCGGGCAGGAAGGAGGCTCGGAGACCGGCCGGCGCTGTGGGTGCACACGCGTGCTGTGTGGGCCCATCTCTGAGGAGAAGGAGAGGGGACTGCCCCGAGGCTCGGCCCGGTCCCTGTGCTCGGAGGAGGCTGGGCGTGGCCCCAGAACAGGGCTCCGCAGGGGCTGTGCCCTGGGTACGGGCTGCGGGACGTGTGCCGCCGCAGTCTCCCCACACTGAGGCAGGCCCGCCTCCTGGCCTCGGGGTTCTGCTCTGTGAGGTCAGGCCGGGCCGGGAGCGTGCAGAGCAGAGCGTGCACCTGGGCACCCGCTGCCCCTCCCCCGGGGGGGCCTCAGGCGGCCCCCTCCCTCAGGCCCGGTGCTGGGATGGGGATGCCATCGTTCCCAGCCTGGCCCGGACCTGCGGGGACACAGCTGCTGGGCCCGTTCGGGGTGAGTGAGGACCAGGGAGGCCTCCGGGCAAGCCTGGGGCTTGGCATCCCTTAAGGGCAGTGGGCACCTCATCCGGGGCCGCCTTGGTGACTGAGCAGTGGGGGCTAGCTTCTTTGAAAACAGCAAAGCGGTTCCTTACGTGAAGAAGCAGGGGGAGGAGGGCTGTGCCCAGCGGCCTGGCTCCCCTGTGCCCCATGGTGAGACCAACAGGCCTCAGGGCCCCCTCCAGGCGGCCTTTCCGGCCCAGTGCCTCAGTTTCCCTCTGCACAGTGGGCAGGGCCCCGGGGAGGCCCGTCCTGCCCTGCACGCCCTCTGTGTGTGTGTGTGTGTGTGTGTGTCTGTCTCTGTGTGTCTCTCTGTGTGTGTATGTCTGTGTGTTTGTGTGTCTATCTGTCTCTGTGTGTGTCTCTATGTGTCTGTCTCTGTGTGTGTGTGTGTCTGTCTGTCTCTGTGTGTCTGTCTCTGTGTGTGTCTGTGTGTGTGTGTGTGTGTGTCTATCTGTCTGTCTGTCTCTGTGTGTGTGTGTCTGTCTGTCTCTGTGTGTGTGTCTGTGTGTCTCTGTGTGTCTGTCTGTCTGTCTCTCTGTCTCTGTGTGTTTGTGTGTGTGTGTCTATCTGTCTGTCTGTCTCTGTGTGTGTGTGTCTGTCTGTCTGTGTGTGTGTGTGTCTGTGTGTCTCTGTGTGTGTGTCTGTCTCTCTGTCTCTGTGTGTGAGTGTGTGTGTGTCTGTCTGTCTGTCTGGCGGGTTCCTCCTGACCGAGTGCTGACTTGGCGGAGGCGGGCCGGGCGATGCTGGCACTTCCGTGATGGACGTCCGAGCCCCTGGGCGCCGCTGGGGCCGCCCCAGCGGAGGGAGGGGTTCCGGGTTGTTGGGGCGCCGAGGGGACCAGGCGGACCCCCTTCCAGGGAGCGGAGCCCCTTCCAGGGAGCAGCCCAGATGGAGCAGCACCTGGAGGAAGGAAGAGCTGGGGCGGGGCTGCAGGCCTTTGTCTGGCGGCCCCTCCCCTCCCCTCCCCTCCCCTCCTCCTCCTTCTCCTCCTCCCTCCCCCCATTGTTCCCGCGGGTCTCCGCAGACCGGCTTCCCAGGCTCCGGGATGGGTGAGGGTCCAGGCCCCGCCTGCTAGGCCCAGGCGAGGCCGCTTTTCAGAAACAGATGCTCCCGCCCAGCGCCTCCCGCCCCCACCTCCCGCCTCCGGCTGCCGGCGCCCCCTGGTGGTGAGGCCGGGACCTGCGGCTGCAGGGAGGGCGGGAGCCAAGGGGGGAGCTGACCCGCAGGCTGGGGCAGGAGACGTGGCAGGAGAGGGAATTGGTGCTCGGGCAGCCGTTGCACCCTGGAGCCCACCCCACTGTCCCCGTGCCCCCGCGGCAGGCGGGTGGAGGGTGGCCGGGGGCGGGCCTGTGCTGTGGGTCGGAGCTGGGCTGCTTGCCCGGCTGCCCTGTGGTCACGGCCACTGCTGCCCGGAGCCGCTCTGCCCACTGCCACGTCGCCTGGCGGCTCCGGCCACGTGTCCGGGGCAGCCCACCGGGAGCCTCCGGGCCTTCCGAGTGCGGGCGGCCCAGGCCTGAGTGCGGGGCGGCCGGGGCCTGAGTGCGGGGCGGCCGGGGCCTGAGTGCAGAGCTGCCCAGGTCTGAGTGCGGGGGGGAGGGGGCCCGGGCCTGAGTGCGGGGGGGAGGGGGCCCTGGCCTGAGTGCGGGGCGGCCCAGGCCTGAGTGCGGGGGGGAGGGGGCCTGGGCCTGAGTGCGGGGGGGAGGGGGCCCTGGCCTGAGTGCGGGGCGGCCTAGGCCTGAGTGCGGGGGGGAGGGGGCCTGGGCCTGAGTGCGGGGGGGAGGGGGCCTGGGCCTGAGTGCGGGGGGGAGGGGGCCCGAGCCTGAGTGCGGGGGGGAGGCGGCCTAGGCCTGAGTGCGGGGGGGAGGGGGCCTGGGCCTGAGTGCGGGGGGGAGGCGGCCTAGGCCTGAGTGCGGGGGGGAGGGGGCCTGGGCCTGAGTGCGGGGGGGAGGCGGCCTAGGCCTGAGTGCGGGGGGGAGGGGGCCTGGGCCTGAGTGCGGGGGGGAGGGGGCCCGGGCCTGAGTGCGGGGCAGACCGAGCCTGAGTGCGGGGGGGAGGGGGCCCTGGCCTGAGTGCGGGGGGGAGGGGGCCCAGGCCTGAGTGCGGGGGGGAGGGGGCCCAGGCCTGAGTGCGGGGGGGAGGGGGCCCAGGCCTGAGTGCGGGGCGGCCCAGGCCTGAGTGCGGGGGGGGAGGAGGCCCGGGCCTGAGTGCGGGGGGGGAGGAGGCCCGGGCCTGAGCGCGGGGCCTGAGTGCGGGGCGGCCAGGGCCTGAGTGCGGGGGGGAGGGGGCCCAGGTCTGAGTGCAGGGGGGAGGGGGCGCGGGGCCTGAGTGCGGGGGGGAGGGGGTCCAGGCCTGAGTGCGGGGGGGAAGGGGGCCCAGGCCTGAGTGCGGGGCGGCCCAGGTCTGAGTGCGGGGGGAAGGGGGCCCAGGTCTGAGTGCAGGGGGGAGGGGGCGCGGGGCCTGAGTGCGGGGGGGAGGGGGCCCAGGTCTGAGTGCGGGCGGCCTGGGCCAGGTCCCTGTGAACCCCCGGGAAGGAGCGGCTGTGGGGGGCAGTGGGACCCAGAGCGAAGGGCCACCAGAGTGTGTGGCTCCCACTCACCAGCCCCGGCAGGACCCGCCTGCTGAGCCAGCTGGTCCCTGCCCCCCCCCCCAAAGCTCCCTCCCTCCCAGCCGGCCGGCGGGCAGGTGTGGCTGGAGCGCCTCCCGCAGTCACTGGCGCTGCTCTGGCTGCAGGGAGATCGATCTGGATCTGTGCAAGGGCAGCAGCTCTGCTAATAACCGTTATCTCTCCGGGCGCCGGGCTTGGTGCTCCGTGCCCGCCCTGCCCGCGCCCGCGCCCGGGGAGGGACGGCGTCCTGGCACGAGGAGGTGCCAGGACGGGCAGGAGGGGCTCGGCTCTGAGACTCAGGGGGGACTAGCGTGGGCACCAGGGCGGGCACAGATCTGAGGCTCCACAGTGTCTGCGGAGGGGAAACTGAGGCAGAGCGGACAGCAGCTTGTCAGGGCCTCCCGGCGGGGCAGAGCCTGGGCCAAGAGGTGGAGGGTCCGAGATGCACGGACAGGCAGCCGTGACCGGATGCTGGCCCTCGGGTCACGCAGCTGGGCTGGTGGCCGGGCGCCTGCTGTGGGGCACTGTGGCCTGGTCCTGCCTCCTCCCGTCTGCTCCCTCTTCCATGCCCCCCCCCGCCGCCCGGTGCTCCGGAGTGGGAGCAGATGTTCCAGCAGACCGGCCGGGCCGGCACATCAGGACAGTCACTGCCGCTCCCGGGCCCAGCAGCCGCGCCCGCCTGGGCCCGGCGGGGAGGAGGCGTGGCTGTGGGGCCCCGCGCGGCCTCTGGGCAGGAGCCCCCTGCCGCCCCCGTGGAGGCGCTGCCCTGCACCGGGCAGCGAGCCGGAGCCAGAGGGCAGCCCCCCTGAGGGGGCACTGGGTGCCCGGGTCAGCGAGTGCAGGCACTCGGAGCCCAGTGCCAGCTCACCCGGGGCAGCACTGGAGGTGGATGGGAAGGGGCCGCTGGAGGAGTGATGAGTGAGACTGGCCCCCCTGATTCTGCCCCCGTGTCCCCCTGCGTACTGCTCGGCCGCCAGCACCCGCTTTGTCCCACCCTCTCCCCTTCCACCCAAGTCCAGGATGGGCTCCGGGACCTTGGGTGCCCACCTGTCAAGCGGGCGTCTTTCTGCAACGAGCCCTGCTCCGGGCAGTGTCCTCCTAACTCTTAGGCTGTGAGGGCGGGGGCAGGGCGGCTCCCCACGGCCAGGGAGCAAGCGTCCTGGCTCCTGCCCGCCTGCCTGGGTGCCGCCTGCCCCGTGGTGCCTGCCAGTCTGCCCGCCAGGAAAATCAGATGCAAAGCGCGTTTGTGCTGTCATCCCCGTCCCTGGGCGAGGTCCCTGCCTTGCCCACACGTTTGCCAAGAGTGGTTCGCCGGCCAGAGGGACCCTGTGACGCAGGTGGACGGGCCGCAGTTACACCAGGAGTGACAACCTCCCCCTGACCTCAGCCCCTGAGCGGGAGAGCTGTCGCTCTGGTGTCGGGTCGCCCGGATGGGATGGCGTGTGGATCTGACCGGTCACCGCACATCCTGGGCCTCCGCTGCCTGACCCTGACCCTGACCCTGGCCCTGGCCGAGACTCCGCCTCCGAGGCTCCGGCCCCTCCCACCTGCCCCGTGGGGAATCCGGGGCCGGAGGGACGCTCACGCAGTCACGGGCGGTCAGTCAGCAGGTGGGTGAGGGCGGCGGGTGCTGGCTGCTCCGAGGGACTGGGGCCTCCGGTGCCCAAGGCCTGACCCCATCAAGGGCCTCACTGCCCGTGATGCCAGGCAGCTGGTGGCGCCTGTGAGGGGAGCCCAGACCTTCTTGGGGTTCCCTGTGTTGGGAACACACCCGGGGCCACAGCTGCTCGGCTCCTGGCCGTGTGTGCTCTGGGCGCGGGGCGGGCGGCCGCGGGCTCTGCTGCTGCCGGGAGGGCCCTGGGACTGCGGGCGTGACCGTGGGCCGGCCACACGGCTGTGCCCTGTACGGCAGCCCAGCTCCCTCCCAGCCAGGTGGGCTGAGCAGAGCAGGTGGTTCCTTGGTGGGCGGGACGGGCCTGGAGCAGCCTCTGCCGGAGCGGGCGCTCCTCGTGCTCTGCTGAGGTCATCGTTGCTGTTACTCTTTCTCTGTTTTATTGATTTCGGAGAGGACGGAAGGGGGGGAGAGAGAAACATCCGCGATGAGAGAGAATCGTGGATCGGCTGCCGCCTGCACGCCCCACACTGGGGATCGAGCCGCCATCCGGGCCGTAGGCGACGCTCAGCCCGAGCCCCCGGCCAGCCTAGTGCTGTTCTTCTTGTCGCTCCGTTGGTTTGCGTGTCGCCACTCCATCCTCTGAGGCGTCTTCACTGACCCAGGGCCAGAGTCCCCACGCGGGGCCTCCCACTCCCCGCTGCGCTGCTCAGAGGCGCAGACCCGCCCCCCTCCGTGGTCAGGAGGGTGGGGCAGGCGCGCCCCACAAGGAGGACTCCGTGGGCCAGGGCCGGGCTGGAAAGGCAGTGCCGGGCACAGGCCGTGTGATGGCAGCGATGGGGCCGGGGTAGCCAGGCAGTGGGCATCGGCTGGGAGGGTGAGCTGGGTCCAGCCGAGGTGCCTTCGCCTGGAGCTGGGGGGAGCAGGGAGGGGGGGGGCCCTGTCCCGCCCCTCCACCCCCTGTGGGCACCCTTCCCTGTGGACCTGGCTGTGTGGGAGGTCACCGCCGAGTCTGCTGTTGTAACTCCCAGCATCGTCCCCAGGCCTGGGCCCTCACTGGAGGAGGACTGGGCCTCTGCATCCTGCTCCTGGGACTTCACTTGTCGGAGCCACGGGGAGACGGGTGGGTCTGCCAGGCCAGGGAGCAGTGAGCACGGTGTGCGTGCCGTCATGCCTGCGTGTGTTACACGGCCCGGCCCCCGCCCGGCTCCATCTGCTCAGGGCGGACCTGGGCCGGGTCTGGAGACAAGAGCATCACGCCATGCCCTCCCTGCCCTTGGCAGCCACGCCGGGTGTGGGCGGAGGCGCCTTCCTGCCAGCGCTGCCAGAGCGATGGCAGGGCGCCTCCTGCAGGCCGCGGGGAGCACGGCGGGCTGTGGTGCTGCGGAGAGGCCACCATAGGGCGCCAGTGTCTCGGTGCTTTGACTACACAGCCCCGCCAGCTGCAGCCCCTCCTGCCTCCATCTCCCCCTCCTCCACCCCCCCAGCCCCCACCTCCCCGTGCAGTTGGTGGGGGGGTGAGCGCGGCTCCAGGGCTTCAGGCGGCTGGGCCCTCGGGGCCGTGGGGCCCAGGCTGCCCCCTGACCCGCACCCTCTGCCCTCCGTTCCAGGTGCCGGGGAGTCGGGGAAGAGCACCATCGTCAAGCAGATGAAGTGAGTGCCACGTGTGGGGGCCTCCCAGCCTCAGTCTCCCCTCTCCTGGGCCTGGCCACCCGACCTTGGGCTCCGGGGGGAGGGGTCCCTGCAGGCCCCGCCCCCGGTGACCATTAACCCGCCCCTGGTGCAGGATCATCCACGAGGACGGCTACTCGGAGGAGGAGTGCCGGCAGTACCGGGCCGTCGTCTACAGCAATACCATCCAGTCCATCATGGCCATCGTCAAGGCCATGGGCAACCTGCAGATCGACTTCGCCGACCCCTCCCGGGCGGTACGTGGACCCCCCCGCCCCCCCCCCGCCCCTCCACCAGGCCCCAGGGCACGTCACGGCCTGGGGGGCCTGAGGGCCCCGTTCCCGGGCCTCCTGCCCTCCAACCGCTGCCCCCGCCCCCAGGACGACGCCCGGCAGCTGTTCGCGCTGTCCTGCTCGGCTGAGGAGCAGGGCGTGCTCCCCGAGGACCTGTCTGGCGTCATCCGGCGGCTCTGGGCCGACCACGGAGTGCAGGCCTGCTTCAGCCGAGCCCGGGAGTACCAGCTCAACGACTCGGCCGCCTAGTGAGTGCTGGCGGGCGGGCGGGCGGCTGCTGCGCCTGCAGCTGGGACGTCAGCTTTCGGGGCTGGCGGGGGCGGGAGGCTTGGTGTGTGGAGGCCGGGAGGAGGCCAGGGTGGGCTTACAGAGCTGTCCCCTGCGGCGCCGGCGGCTCCTCTGCCCTCACACACCGTCGTTCTAAAGAAGCGTTTGCCGCGCCCGCTCCGGGCCAGGGCCTGCGCCAGGCCTCGGACCCGGGGCGGTGGAGCGGACAGGCCCCGGGGCAGGACCCCTCGGGGATCTGCGGTGGCGGCTGCCGGGGCAGGTCCAGCGAGGGGTGCCCCCGGGGAGTCTGCCCTGGAGGGGGGGGCAGAGCCCACAGGCAGGGCACAGCCTGTGCCAGCTCCCGGGTGAAGTGCTGACGGGCCTGCGGTCACGGGAAGTTCAGGCGGAGACACGGAGGGGAGGCCGGTCTGGCCGTGACACGTGTGGGTGGAGCGCAGGACCCGCCTCAGAGCCTGGAGGCCCAGCTGCAGGACGCGCCCTCGCCGCCTTTCCTGGAGGACCTGCCACCTGCCAAGCCTGGCGCAGGCGCCGGGTGCCCGCGAGGAGCAGAACAGGCAGGCCGGCGGCCAGTGCTGAGGGGCAGGGCCTTGGGCGGCACCCATGGGCCCTGGACGGTGCCCCCAGATAGGCTGAGACCCGGACTCGCCTCCTCCTGGCGCGTAGGTACCACGCCCCGATGCCCACCCGGCCGCGGGCAGGAGCGGTGGGAGGCATGCCTGCTGGCTGTGTGACCCCCGAGCCCTGGCCGTTATGTGGGCAGCCCCCGCCTCGCAGAGGCCTGAACCCCTGTGAGCGCACCCCGTTCCCCCCTCCCCCCGGCATGCTGCACAGTCTCACCAGACACGGGCCTCAGGCCTCTGCACTGCCCTCCACTGTCACAGGCTCAGCACCGGCAGAGCTGTGGGCCTGTCAATCGTCGCCACTCAGTGCCCAGGCCTCAGGGAGGGCGGGCGAGAGCCGCCTGCCAGGCCCCTTCCCACTCGCCCCGTTCCCTTCTCCTTCCCGTCAGCGCCCGCTGGGTGCCGGCTGTGCTGGGTGGGGATGGGGCCGTGGACGCGGCCTGCTCTCCCGGCGGGTTTACGTCTTCACTGCGGGTGGGGGGACTGGGACACCCCCCTCTCCTCAGCGACCTCCAGGCGCCCTCGGCAGCGGGCCCCTGGGTGAGCCCCCCGTTGAGAAGGGGAGTCTGCTGTGCAGCCACCGGGGGCCCAGACCGGAGGCGCTGGGGCGGGGCCTGGTGTGGAGGTTACAGCACATGCGTCACAGTCCCCACGGCTCTTCCTGTTTTTCTGTTCTGTCTGTGTCTCTGAGGTCATTTCCCTCTGGCCGGGCTGCTGGTGGGAACCGAGGGCCGGCCCGGCGGCCCTGCCCCAGGAGCAGGACATCAGCCCCGGCCCAGCCCCGGACACGCAGGACAGCAGGCTGGCCAGGGCCTGGCCGGGCGGCTGGTGCTGACGGGACTAATAAGGGAGCTGGCACATGAAGCCCCTGTGGTGCCCTCCCGAGGAGCCCAGGCAGTGGGTGCTGGGCAAGAGCCCCCCGGCCTGGCAGGCCTAGCTGCCCAACCGCCCAGCCCCACACGGCTGACACCATTACTGCAGATTGGCACCCCAAGCCCCTCCCGCCCCTCCCCTGCACGCCATCCCGGCCCCGAGGCAGGCCTGGCTGGGACCGGTGCAGGCGGGGCCGGCCACAGGCCCCCAGCTGCCCTCTGGCCTGACCAGCAGGGGGAGCCAGGGGTTCCGGCCCCGCGGTGCCTGCAGGTCAGGAGGCCCCTGCTGCCCCCTGACGCCCCCCCGCCCTTCCAGCTACCTGAACGACCTGGAGCGCATCGCCCAGAGCGACTACATCCCCACCCAGCAGGACGTGCTGCGCACCCGCGTGAAGACCACCGGCATCGTGGAGACCCACTTCACCTTCAAGGACCTGCACTTCAAGTGAGCAGGCGGCCGGGCGGCCGGGCGGTCGGCCGGGCGGGCGGGGGAGCGCGGCCGCCAGCCCCGGTGACGAGAGGGGCTTCCCGGGGCTGCTCCTGCACCCCCAGCCCCACTCCCACCTGCTCTGCCCACAGCCTCACCCTGCGGGCCACACCTTCCCTGGCCCGGAGGTGGGGGAAGGGAACAAGAGTGGGGCCCGGGCGGGTGGCCGCTGGCGCCGAGCGGCCCTGTCCTCAGTGGCCAACCTGGGAGAGGTGCGGGGACCCTCCCGGAAGCCCCCGTCCCCCGTCCCCGGAGCTGAGGGGCCTGTGTCCGCAGGATGTTCGACGTGGGCGGCCAGCGGTCGGAGCGGAAGAAGTGGATCCACTGCTTCGAAGGCGTGACAGCCATCATCTTCTGCGTGGCCCTGAGCGCCTACGACCTCGTGCTGGCGGAGGATGAGGAGATGGTGAGCCCAGAGACCGTGGGGGCGGGGGTGTGGGTGTGTGAGGGGGGGAAGGGGGAGCGGAGGGAGATAGGGGGGGTGCTGACCGCGCCGTCCCGCCCCCAGAACCGCATGCACGAGAGCATGAAGCTGTTCGACAGCATCTGCAACAACAAGTGGTTCACGGATACGTCCATCATCCTCTTCCTCAACAAGAAGGACCTGTTCGAGGAGAAGATCACGCACAGCCCCCTGACCATCTGCTTCCCCGAGTACACAGGTGGGCTGGCCTCAGGGGCCTGGGGCCGCTGGCTCACAGCGCCCCCTGCTGGGCAGGAGGGTCACTGCGGGGCCCTTGGTCTGGCGGGTGCTTTGGGACTTCGGTAGCTGTGTCAGCAGATGGGCCTTCTCCCCACCCTGGGGCGGACCCTTCGTGTGCCCGTGGCATCCTCCTGCACACAGACGTGTCCGCTCACACGCTCCCGTGCACACGCGCACACCCGTCTGCCATGGGCATGCGCAGCAGTCTCACCGCTCCGCCTCCTCAGGGGCCAACAAGTACGAGGAGGCAGCCGGCTACATCCAGAGCAAGTTTGAGGACCTGAACAAGCGCAAGGACACCAAGGAGATCTACACACACTTCACCTGCGCCACCGACACCAAGAACGTGCAGTTTGTCTTCGACGCCGTCACCGACGTCATCATCAAGAACAACCTGAAGGACTGCGGCCTCTTCTGAGGGCGGCCCCTGGCCGGACGGTGAGCCGCGGGCCGGCAGGGAGCCGGGGGCCGGCAGGGAGCCGGGGGGCCGGACGGTGAGCCGCGGGCCGGACGGTGAGCCGCGGGCCGGCAGGGAGCCGCGGGCCGGCAGGGAGCTGGGGGGCCGGCAGGGAGCTGGGGGCCGGCAGGGAGCTGGGGGCCGGCAGGGAGCCGCGGGCCGGCAGGGAGCTGGGGGCCGGCAGGGAGCTGGGGGCCGGCAGGGAGCCGCGGGCCGGCAGGGAGCTGGGGGCCGGCAGGGAGCTGGGGGGACAGGCAGGGAGCTGGGGGCCAGGAAGGGAGCTGGGGGGCCAGGAAGGGAGCTGGGGGCCAGGCAGGGAGCTGGGGGCCGGCAGGGAGCTGGGGGGGGAGCCAGGCAGGGAGCTGGGGGGGGAGCCAGGCAGGGAGCTGGGGGGCCAGGCAGGGAGCTGGGGGGGGGGGCCAGGCAGGGAGCTGGGGGGGGAGCCAGGCAGGGAGCTGGGGGACCAGGCAGGGAGCTGGGGGGGGAGCCAGGCAGGGAGCTGGGGGGCTAGGCAGGGAGCTGGGGGCCCAGGCAGGGAGCTGGGGGGCCAGGCAGGGAGCTGGGGGGACAGGCAGGGGGCGGGGGGGACAGGCAGGGAGCTGGGGGGACAGGGTTGGGCCAGGCAGGGAGCTGGGGGGCGAGGCATGGAGCTGGGAGGACAGGGCTGGGCCAGGCAGGGAGCTGGAGAGGGACCGAGCAGGGCCAGGCAGGGAATGGGGGAAGGGACCAGGCAGGGAGCTGGGGGGGGGAGCCAGGCAGGGAGCTGGGGGGGAGCCAGGCAGGGAGCTCGGGGGACAGGAAGGAGCGGGGGGGGGGGGGGGAGCCAGGCAGGTGGCTGGGGGACAGGCAGGGAGCTGGGGGGCCAGGCAGGGAGCTGGGGGGCCAGGCAGGGAGCTGGGGGGACAGGCAGGCGGCTGGGGGCCAGGCATGGAGCTGGTAGGACAGGGCTGGGCCAGGCAGGGAGCTGGAGAGGGACCGAGCAGGGCCAGGCAGGGAATGGGGGAGGGGACCAGGCAGGGAGCTGGGAAGGGACTGAGCAGGGGTCCAGGTGATGCCCAGGGGGAGCAGAGGACGAGGGGCGCAGGCTGGCGGGTCAGGAGGGCCCCCGGTGCCTGGCCCCAGGAGGTGGACGGGCAGGCTGGGCTCTGCTGCCGGTGGCCGCCGCTCAGAGGCGCCTGGCCGTGTGCTGGGACAGAGCCAAAGGCTGTTCCCTTCCTCGGAGAGAACTCACTCCCTCACCACCTGCCACTCGGTGTGAGTGGCTCTGCTCCTCCCTCTCTGCTTCCCACCTTGAGGGTCTCTGAGGGCCTGGGGCGGCGGGAAGACTGCCAGCCTCAGAGAAAGCAGCAGCAGGCACTGGCTTCTGGGCGCCCGTGTGTTCCTGGTGACAGCGGCGGGAAAGGAGTGGTCATTGTCGGGCGGGAGGAGTCACAGTGTCTACCTCCTGACCAGGCCCTCCCCCACCCACAGGCCACCGGGAATCTGCTCCCCCAGTTCCTGAGGAAGATGGGGGCACGAGGACCACGCCCCCCACCGCCCTCCCCACGCTTCCCCCTCTCTGTTCTTGGCTCCTCTGTCGCCTCCCTCAGCTCCCGGGACCTGGGGAAGGGGTGCCACAGGCTTCCCGTTGGGAGCCTGCCCTTGTCCCAGTGCTGGGAACAGCGGGTGCCCCTCCTGGGCATCGCGCTGGGGGTAGCCCTGGTCTCGTCCTGTGGTGAGGGAGGGGGCACCGCCAGCCTGGGACCCGGTCACCCAGCCCAGCCCCTGGCCCGCCCAAGGCCAGATGTTTACAGGAGCCTCCTGCCCCCACCCCGCCCCAGCGAGGAGGCCCCACAGGAAAAGCACAAGCAGCGTGAGACGCCACCATTCCGAGACACAGGCCACCCGCTCATCCTCGTCGCTTTTTAAAAAATCGAAAGGAAAAAAACCCGCAAACTTAGAAAACTTTTTAGAGGAAAAACTATTTAAAACTGTCCGGTCCTGACCGGCTCCCCAGCCCCATTCGAGCAACTCCGTGCCTTGAGTGTGTCTGTGTGTTTACACCCGTCCTCTGCTGGCTGCCCCTGGCGGCCCGCCACACCGGCCCGCGGCTGCCGGCCTCCCAGGCCTGCCCAGGCCGGGGCCCCACTAACCTCCCTGACGCCCTCGGCTAACCTAGGAAGCGCGGCCTCTGCCCTCCCCCAGGTCGGCCTTCAGCCTTGAACACTTCCTTGCTTTTTTCACGTTTTATGGAATTGTCCACCGGGTTTGAAATAATAAAATGTAGAAAGAAAAACACCCAGGACTGCTCTGCTGCCTTCTTTCTGGGGGGCAAGGCAGGCTGCGTGCCACGGCGATGGTGCTGTGGGCCCTCGGCCTCACAGCCGCCGGGTCAGGCCCAAGACTGGCACTCCGTATGTCGCCCCTCTCTCCCAGCACCTCGGCGTCCGGGGGGGGGGCAGCATGGCGTGCCAGGGGGCACATTTCCAAGGACAGGAGCAGAGAGGGGCAGGGACGTCAGGGCTAGGCTCCCAGGCCCAGGGCCCAGGCTGGCCGCACCCCCTGCGCCCACATCTCCCATCGGACGTGTTGCCCTGAGCCCTGCCCAGAACTGAGGCGCCGTGGGCTTGACTGGACAAAGTTGGGGACAGTGGGGCTCTGCCCAGAGGTGCCCCTCCAAACCTGATGTGGGCAGGTGGCCACCCTTCCCCCACGCTGGGACCAGGCTCCAGGAAAGGGAGCTGGCGGGGGGGGGGGGGGGGACTGGGGAGGGTCCCCCGGTGCCGCAGAAGGGAACTGGCTGATGGCCGCGGGGCCTGGGGCGGCCAGCCCAGCTCTGCAGGACCCGCAGCCCGGCCAGCCCGGAAGCGGCCCGCGGGCGGGCGGGCGGGGAGCGCGCTTCTGCCCGCGGCCGCCAGAGGGCGCCGTCACCCGCGCTCGCCGCACGCCGGCCCGGTGACGTCACGGGGTCCCGCGGAGGCCGCGGGCACAAAGGCGCTTTGTGGGCCGCGGGGCTCGGGCTCGGCGCGGGACAAAGCGCCCCGGTCGGGGTCGGGGTCGGCGCCGTGGAGGCGGGGAGGGGAGGGAGGGGAGGGCGGGGAGGGGAGGGGAGGGCGGGGAGGGCGGGGGGGGAGGGGAGGGGAGGGGAGGGCGGGTGGGGCCCGGCCCGCCTCCGCACACCTGCGGGCGCCCCGAAGCCGGGGGCCGGGTCCCCGATGCTGGCGGGAGAAGAGAGGCTGCAGCCGCCCGCCCGCCCCGTCGGAAGGAGCCGAACGCGCCCCGGCCGCGCCCCGCCGGTCCCGGGCCTTTCCTGCTGCCCCTGCCTGCGGGCTGGGGCTGACACAGGGGCAGGCCCGCCCCGAACTGGCATCCCTACCCCCGCCCCCCGGCCGGGCCCGGACCGAGGCCCAGCAGGCGGGCGCCGTGCCCCCCGCAGAGGCCTGCCAGCAGGAAGCGGCCCAGGAGCCGGTTCCTCTCTTCCCTCCGGGCCCTGCACAGAGGGGCCATTGAGGCTGGCATTGTCTGCTGGGCGCGCCCTCCCGGGTGGCCCACGCAGGGTCTGGCCAACATCCCCTCGTCCTGCCGGCAGTGGTCCTGGGTGGGGTCCTGGCAAGCAGGGCCTCCCGGGGTGCAGACCACTCCCCCCACCTGCCCGTGGCCTTCCTGCCCGGCTCCGGCTTCTGGGGCACAAGGCCCCATTGTCCCGGCGCTGGCGGGGGCGGCCTCAATGCCGCCCTGTCCCTGGCAGTTGGGAAATTCCCAGCCGTGGAGGTGGCAGGCTGGGGGCATCGCAGGTGCCGGTACCCCAACAGGAGGGAGTCCATGAGGCCGCCTCCTGGGGATCCCCACTGCCCGTGGCCATCCGGCCCCTGGGAGCAGCTGGCGGGGGAGGCAGATTCAGTGCCCCGAGCTCTCCCAGCCCAGGAGGCCCCTCCTCCCGCCGGCCGGGCACCTTCAGCGGGCAGGGCCAGGCAGGGACCCCGCCCCTGCTCCCAGACCAGCGCGGGTCCCAGTGTGCGGGGAGCGGGGCAAGGGGAGGCAGGGGGGGGGGCTGACGCCCACCAGAGAGATGCCCCAAGGCGGACCCACCTTCCGGAGGCCGCTCCTCCGAACACTCGCTGGGGCTCTGCTGGACGTTTATCCTCAGCCCCCTGGCCGGACGGTCAGCTGGGAAGACAGACAGGCTCCCAGTCAGAGGCCGAAGGGCCGAGGGCAGCCACGCCCAGCTCCCCTGGCCCACACCCCGCCCCAGCAGGTGCTGCGAGGCCCCAGACCGGCTGTGGGACCGGAGGGGCCTTGTTAGGACTGGCTCTGAGGCTGCAGGGGCTGCGAGGCCTGGAGGAGGCCCTGACCCCGTCCCAGGCCGCCCCGTGGTGGTGGCTCGTCCCGAAGCCTCTGGAGCAGCCCCTCTCCCCACCCAGGGCGCCAGGCCAGCCCCAAGGCTGGAGGCGTCAAGCCACACCTGGACTGCAGCCACTGGGCGGGGGGAGGGGGGGCAGGGCTGCAGTGTCTGTCGCCTGAGCTCCGGCCCAGGCGCCTCCCAGACTGCCGCCCCATCCGGCCTCTCCCCCAAAAGCCATCCCGGGCCTCCTCCCTGGTCCCGCCTCCCCCCAGCCCCTCGGAATGCCAGCTCCCACACACCCAGGGGGCCATGCCCACCAGCCACTGGGCTCCTCAGTCCGTCCCCCGGTGATGGGCACAGGGGGCCGGGGGCAGGGCCTGGACCCCTTGCTGGCGCTGCAGCCCACAGGTGACCGTGCTGAGGGGGAGGGGGGTACAGGGCGAAGGACAGGGAGGTGTCCCTTCTCCATTAGCCCCCTCGCCGTGGACTCAGCCGGCCCGGAGGCGGAGGGCTCCCGGCGGGCCCTGTCTCCGGCCGGCCTCCCGGCCTGGCCCTGCGGCCTGGGGCCCGGTGATGGCAGCTTCCCGCTCAGGCATCAGGGCGGCACAGGGCGGGCTGGGCGGCGAGGGGAGCGGAGGGGACGGAGGCAGCAGGTGGCCGAGGGGCGGGCTGGCACAGGAGGCACAGCCGGGCCTGGAAATCCTGGCCGGAAAAGAGCTGCTGCTCCTGGCAGCGGGGAGGCTGGGGCGCGGGCAGGCGGAAGGGCCGGGCAGGCAGGTGGTGAGGGCGCCAGGCTCCGGCCTGGGCCCCCCAGGCCTCACGAAGCCGGAGTCGGGGTGGCGGGTGAGGACGGGAGGCCATGGGGGGGCAGGGGAGGGAGAGTGGCAGAAAGACCCGGACACAGCCTGGGGCGGGCGAAGGGGTCAGGCTGAGGCTGCAGGGAGGAGGCGGGCCTGACCCCAGGGAGACTGAGGGCCTTCCAGAGCGGGGGCGGGGGGGCACCCTGGGGTGGCATTGTGGAGCGGGAAGACGGAGGAGCCCAGGGAGGAGGGAATGAGGGAGGGGAGGGTCAGGGATGTCGGTGTGCTGGGGGCGCGTAGAGGAGTGGGGGTTGGTGGCAGAGGGCAGGAGGGGAAGGGCGTCCTGGAGGCCCGGGTCTGGGTGCTGCAGGATGCCCGTGTGCCACCCTGTCAGCCCCGCTCCTACAGCCGAAGGACTGGTGAAGGGTTGAGGGGAGCATCTGAGAGGTTCCACTTCCTGGGGGACGCACAGCCTGGGAGCGGGGGTGTCAGCATTCATTCCGCCCCTCGCCAGCTCCTAGGGGGTCGCTCCCTGCCCCTCCCCGACCCTCCAGAGCCTCTGGAGCCCCCCACAGCCCTCCGGGGAGGGCAGGGAAGTGTTAATCATGCTGATGAGTGTCCACTGGGCCGCGTTCCTAGCAGGCCCTCCCCGCTCGCTCTCCCCGCCCCCCCAACCCCGCCAGGCTGTGGAGAAGGAGGGGAGGGGCGATGAGGAAAACAGGAGTGAGTGAGTGAAGAGCTGTGATGTGGCTGGGCAGGGGGGGCGCCCTCCCGGAGGGGCTGACCTCAGCCGGGGAGGAATGTGCGGGAGGCGGAGGGCAGGGCGGAGCGGAGGGGGCAGGGCGGCACGGAGGCCGGGGTTCCCGTGGCCCCGCCCCCGCCCCTCCACCTCAGCTCTGACATGGCCCTCGGGAGGACCGGGCGCCGGGCGAGGAGGGGAGGAGCTGATCTTTCCAGAAAGGTGGGCCAGGGCCGGGGAGCGTGGCACCAGGCTGGGGGGGCTGGGTGGCAGCGTGTCCGGGGACTTGGGCCTCAGGCTCTCTCCAGCGCCCCCCCCAGTCCCCAGGGAGCACATCCCAGTGCCCACGTGACAGAGGGCAGGGGAGCGCAGGCTGATGGCTAAAGCAGGTGTGAGTGCGGCCAGGGGCCCGCCCGGCGGGCCGGACGGAAGTCTGACCCCAGCCCAGCGCCCAGAGGCCCGGGGCAGGCCCGGCGGGGCGGGGGCGGGGGCGGCGGCAGGTGCTGGGCTTGGCTCAGCCAACCAGGCATTTCCAGGAGGAAAAAGGGCAGCCTGGCAGCCGGTGCCCCTCACAGGTGGCACCAAGCACCAGGCAGCCCGTGCCCAGGGAGGCCCTGGCAGAGGGTGGAGGCCCGGAGCCAGCGTGGCCCAGGGCAGGGCTGCAGGCAGGGGTGGCCCAGGGCAGGATGCAGGCAGGGCCAGGGCCGTCAGCTGCCTCCGTGCTGGTCTGCCCCATGAAGTGGGGACCCAGCCCGGGCTGCCCGATCCCAGGATCCTGGGGGACTCCCGGAGCCCCAGTGACCTCGCCTGACCTTCTCCAGGAGGCCCTGCCCAGGAAGGACACCCGTGGGGCCTGGGACAGCCCGGGCCCCCGTCCTGGGGTCGCCCCTCCTGCAGGGCCCGGGGCACACGGGCTGTCTGCAGGAAGGGGGCGAGGCCCGGCCTCGGGGTGCAGGGGCAGCCCAGCCCGGTGGCGGCATTGAGCCCCGGGCTTTGGGAAGACGGGAGTGGGGTCCTGGCCCCATTTCTCACGAGGACCCGGGGCTGGGCCTGAAGACCCGAAGCCGGGGGGCAGGTAGGGGCAGCCGTGCGGGTGGGGCCTCAGCACTCGGTCTGGGCAGTTTGGGCGGACACTGGAAGCAGCCAAGGAATTCTGTTTGCCTGGCCTGGGGGGGCGGCCAGGTCCGGGGCACAGGCAGAGCCTGGCGGAGGCGAAGTGCATCCCGGAAGCCCAGAAGGTCATCCAGGGTGTGTCCCTCCTGACCCCTCCTTCCCCCACTGACCTCCCCTCCGCTGCCAGCCAGCCAGCTGGGCAGCAGGCACACCAGGCCTGAGGCTCAGGAAAGGGCCCTGACCCGCTCTGGCTGGCACAGACTTGGCTGCTCCAGGGCCCTCGCAGCCACCGCCTCCCTCGCTGACCCTGAGGCCATTCCAAGAGGATGCCTGTGGGTGGGGGGGAGCCCTGGCGTGTCCCCCCCAGCTGGGCCTGAGGTCCCCACTCCCTGTTGTCAACATTCAGCCTCCAGACAGGGTGTCCCCCAGACCCAGCTTCAGGCCCAATCCCTGGAGGCCCCTGTAAACAACGCCCCGTTGGGGACCTTGCTGGGCGCTGGGCGAGGGGCAGTCTTCCCCCCCCATTTCAACCAAGAAGACAGACCCAGAGCCCACCCTGCGCCCTCAGCTCCCAGCAGGGGTGAGGGACCCGAGGCCGCACCCTCAGGCCCGGGCGACGCGGGAGGGCCCAGACCCGGGTGCAGAGTGAGACCTCCCCCGCCCACCCGCTCCCATGGCAACCACGCCAGCAGCTGGCCGGTCCTGGCCACGTGGAGAGGACAGAGACTGGTCCCGAGGGCCAGCTGGGCGCCCCCCCATCCCAGCTGGCGCCCCCCCAGCGCCCAGCTGTGGAAGGACAGGTGAAGACTCCCTCCCGGGTGACCCTCCCAGCTGCCCCTCTGCCTGCCGCGCGCTGCCCGGGCCTGGGGGCGGGTCTTTACTGCCTCTTTCTCCTTCGCTTGGACTGGGAGCCCCACTTTCGCTGCTTGGGGCGCCCTGTTGCTGTGACCCCGACGGGGGTGTCTCCCCTATCCCCCCCCGCCCGTGCCCGCTCACTTTGGCCGCCCGGCCCCGCCGTCCAGGCCGCCTGCCCAGTCACCCGATCGACGGCAGGCGCGGGCGGAGGCGGCTCTTAAAGGGGCCGGCGGAGGGGCCCGGGCGTCTCCCTTCTCCAGGGGGGAGGGGCGGGGTGCTGGGGTTCTGTGGCCTCTGGGGAGGCGGCGGGTCCCCCAGCCCAGAGGAGGCAGCGGAAGTGTCAGCGGAGGGAAGGAGGGAGGGGGGGACAGAGGGAGGGGGCCAGCATGGGGGTTGGGGGGGCATGTGAGAGGTCCGCGAGCTGCGGAGCTGGCATGGCCCCCTGCAGCTGCACCCCTGCCCCATCCCATGCCGGGACCTGCCCCACCCAGGGCTCTGTGCCCGCACCTGCGCAGCCAGCCGAGCCTGTGGGGGGGCAGCGGAGGCTCTGGCTGGAGCGGTGGAGGGGCTCCCAGCGGGGACCGGGGCTGAGGCAGGGGAGGCGGGTTCGGGGGGAGGGGGACCGGGGCTGAGGCAGGGGAGGCGGGTTCGGGGGGGAGGGGGACCGGGGCTGAGGCAGGGGAGGCGGGTTCGGGGGACCTGCTGCCCTCGCTGGGGAGAGGCTGCCTCCTCTGGCCTTGGCTCTCTCCCTCCGTCCCTCCTGGGTCTGAGTCTGAGCTCAGAGTTTCTGTGTGACCAGCCCAGTCCGCTTCTGGGCGGGGAGAGGCCAGCTCAGCCGGCTGCTCCCTCCGTGCAGTAATCCTGACCCAGCGGCCCCCCATCCCAGCCGCAGGCCCCCCACCCCAGCGGACCCATCCCTGCAGTCTGGCTACGCCCAGGCTTCTGCCAGCCCTGGGGCTCCTCCGGTTGAAGGCAGGGGTGGGCTGCGGGTGTCTTGCTCAGCGTGTCCAGACACGCACACGTGCACACGTGCACACACTTGTGACACACCTACTACAGACACATCCATGAAGTGCATGCACCACGCAGACACACACCGCATAAACACGCAGACGATGCCGTGTGTGCACACACATGCACGCCACACATCTACATGTGTGATAAACGCCCATGCCACGTGGCCTTGTGCGTGTACACACACCACACACACGTGCGGAGCAGACACACAGAGGACCCTCAGGAGCATCCACACTCATGGACACCTGCACCCCTGGCTGCTCGGCCCCAGAGGCCGTCCCTGGCTGTGGGCGCAGCCGCCTGAGCCCCTCCAACGGGCACCGGCCCCTCTGACCTTCCCTCAGCCCCCGTCCCCGGGGCACGGGGCCTGGCCTGGGTCCCCCCCGTCCCCGGTCACGTCCCCCGGCGGGAAGCAGCCGGGAGTGAGCGCTGAGAGCGCGGCTGGGAGGGCGGTTTGGGGCGGGTGACGTGGTGGGGCGGGTGCTGCCGTGTGGGTGACCCCGGGTGCCGCGTGGTGTGCCTGTGGCTGTGGCCGGGCGGGCACCCCCGGGGGGAGGGCTCGGAGCGGGACGCGCCCCCGCCGCCTGCCCGGTGTAACCTGATCCGGCTCCCGGCGCCGCCCCAGCCGCGCCCTCCGCTCCTCTCCCAGACCCCGGGCAGAGTCCAGGGCGGCTGGAGGCTCCTCGCACAGGCTCTCGCCTGCCGGCGCCCGCTGCACCCTGAGCGCCCGGCCGGCGGGCGGGCGGGCCGCCATGATCGCGGCCCTGGTCCTGCTGGGGACGGCCGTGCTGGGGGCGGCCTCCCCGAGCCCACCCCGCCTCCGCTTCTCCTTCCGAGGTAGGTGCGCCTGGCGGGCGGGCCCGGGCCCCGGGGCGGGCGGGCGCTGTGCGGGCCGTGCCACCTGACCCGGTGGCCACCTGCGCCGGGATGGGGCCTCCCAGGCCGTCGCCAGTTCACCCTGCCCGGCCCCCCTCCCAGCCCCTCTGCTTTCCCAGGAAGACCCCGGTCTCCATGGCAACAGGTGCTGCCTCTGTGCCATCCGGATCGCAGGGAGGCTGGGATGTGGGGCCGTCGGAGCCCCTCCCTGCCGCTGCCCGGGAGCCGTTGCTAGGCACAGAGCCGGCTCCCGGCAGGACGGCCGGCAGAGCGCGCACCTGACTGGGGAGGCGGCTCCGGGCCCCGGGCCCGGCCCCCATGCCCTGCTGGGACGCTGCCTGAGGAGCACGGCCGTCCGCCGCCTTCCCCTCGGGGCGCGGGGGGGCACTGCCCACCTGGGAGCCTGCCCCTGGGTGGGCCTTCGCGGTGCGAGCTCAGTGCGTGAATTCACGTGCGTGCGGGCCTGAGAGAGGACAGACGGCTGGGGGGGGGGGGGCGCCGAGGTCTCAGGGCCCGTCCCCCCCAGAGCTGCAGGCCCAGCACGGGCTGCGGACCTTCCGGCTGCCCAGGACCTGCTGCTACGAGGCGCTGCTGGCGGACGAGGAGCGGGGACGCCTGTTCGTGGGCGCCGAGAACCACGTGGCCTCCCTGAGCCTGGACCACATCGGCAAGCGGCCCCGGAAGGTGGGCCCCGCACGCCCGGGCTGGGGGGGGAGTGACACCCCGAGCACAAGCCCTGACCTGCGCCCCCCCCAGCTGGCCTGGCCGGCGCCCGTGGAGTGGCGTGAGGAGTGCAACTGGGCCGGGAAGGACATTGGGGTGAGTGCCGGCTGCGGGGGCAGGAGGCGGACAGAGGCCTGTCTGTTGCTGGGGATGGGGGGAGGGGTTGAGGGGGCTGCGGCGGGAGGTGGTGAGTCAGGGTGGGGGCTCATGTGAACTTGGGGGCCTGAGTCACAGGGGCCAAGGCGGACCTTTGCTCCCCGGTGCCCATTCTGGTGGGAGGGGGCTGGGCTGGCCGGTCACCCGCAGGTCCCTGGAGCCCATTTGGTGCTTGCCTGAGCTGATGCAAAGGAAAGGAAGAGGTGAGAGCGGGAACCCCTGAAGGCCGCCTCCGGGGGGGCCCTCACTGTCACCCCCCGGCCGCCCGCTAGACGGAGTGCATGAACTTCGTGAAGCTGCTGCACGCCTACAACCGCTCCCACATGCTGGCCTGCGGCACCGGCGCCTTCCACCCCACCTGTGCCTTCCTGGAGGTGGGCCACCGGCCCGAGGTAAGGCAGAGCCGGGGCGGGGGGGGGGGGGGGGGAGGGGGCCTGGCAGTGACACCCTCCCCCGCCCCCAGGAGCCCGTGCTCCGCCTGGACCTCCGGCGGCTGGAGGACGGCAAGGGCAAGAGCCCTTATGACCCCCAGCACCGCGCGGCCTCCGTGCTGGTGGGTGAGTCCAACAGGCCCCGGACCTCACCAAGCCCCGAGCCCAACCCCCGAGCCCCAGCGCTCCCCAGGCCCCCGCGAGCGCCGTCCGCGGGGCTGAGCCCGGCCGTCTGCAGGGGGAGAGCTGTACTCCGGCGTGGCTGCAGACCTCATGGGCCGGGACTTCACCATCTTCCGCAGCCTGGGCCAGCGGCCGAGCCTCCGGACGGAGCCCCACGACTCCCGCTGGCTCAATGGTGAGCGGCTGGGGGCGGGGGGACCCTCATCCCCATCAGGGCAGCCGGTATCACGTGCTCCTTGAGTTCACAGACTTCCTCCCACCATCACTTCGACCCCAGCAGTGGTCCCGGACCAACGGTAGCTCAGGGAGGAGGGAAGGTGAGGAGGTCGGGTGAAGGAAGCCACTCCGCTGAGCCCCGGTGTGAGCTAACCACAGGGAGCAGCAGGATGGAGGGAAGAGGAACAGGTTTCCGGAGAGCAATGACACGGGCCCGGTGGTTGACTCTGAGGGATGGGACCCGGCAGAGTGTTTGCAGCTAGTGTGGGGCCTCTGCTTCCTGCTAGAGGATAAGATTCGTGAGGGAAGGTAGAACCGGAGACCCCATCTCCATCCTCTCTCAAACCACTGGCCTGGGGAACCCCCCCCCGAGGGCTGCCACTGGCGGGCATCCCGCTTCCTGCTTGCCCAGGTGGCCCGGCCTCTGCTGCCCTCCTGTGGCTGCTTCTGGACTCGCAGGCCCTGCTCTTCCTGACTCTGCCCGCCGCGGGGCACCATCTGTGGTCCCGGAGGCTGGGGACTCTCAGATGCTCGGACGGCGCTGACCCCTCACCTCTTCCCGCCGCCAGAGCCCAAGTTCCTGAAGGTCTTCTGGATCCCGGAGAGCGAGAACCCGGACGACGACAAGATCTACTTCTTCTTCCGCGAGTCGGCCGTGGAGGCCTCGCCGGCCCTGGGCCGCCGCTCTGTGTCCCGCGTCGGCCAGATCTGCCGGGTGAGGAGCCCGGGCCCGTCCTCGGCCCCGCGCCACCCCTGCCTTCGGGGCGCGGCCTCACCCCCTCCCACCGGCCCCACAGAACGACCTGGGCGGCCAGCGCAGCCTGGTCAACAAGTGGACCACGTTCCTGAAGGCGCGGCTGGCGTGCTCCGTGCCGGGCAGCGAGGGGGACGCGCACTTCGACCACCTCCGTGAGTGCGGGCGGGGGGTGGGCAGGGCACAGCCCGGGGCCTGGCCGGCCGGCCGGGCTGAGTGCCCTCCGCTGAGCGCCCTCCTCCAACGGGCCCGTCCGCAGAGGACGTGTTCCTGCTGCCCTCCAGGGACCGCTGGAACCCGCTGCTCTACGCCGTCTTCTCCGCGTCCAGGTGAGGGCCGGGCGGGGGGCGGGCGCCTGGCTCCGCGGGCCG